TCTGTTAAGAAAATACATCAGGCAGGCTCTTGCTGAGCAGTTTACTTAGTGTAAAAATCCAACTTACGGAAACCCTCTGAACACATGATAGGAGATGAAGTTGATGAAAATCACTTTATCCTCATTTGGCGGGTCTCATTCCAAGAATAATGTGCCTTTTAAAAATTTGGGTCTGTTATTATTATTATCTCATTATTTCCGTTTTTATTTAAGATTCGGGAGGTACATGTGCAGGTTTGTTACATGAGTCTCTTGCATGATACTGAGGTTTGGGAAGTGAATAATCCCATCACTAGAGAGTGTACATAGTACCTGACAGGTAGGTTCTCTGACTGGTAGTTCCCAGGTTCTGTTGTTCTTTTCTTTTTGTTCTTTTTTCTTTTTTTTGAGATTAAGTCTCACTCTGTCACCAAGCCAGAGGGCAGGGGTGCGATCTCAGCTCACTGCAACTTCCACCTTCCAGGTTCAAGCGATTCACCTGCCTCAGCCTCCTGAGTAGCTGGGATTACAGGCAGGCACCACTACGCCCAGCTAATTTTTGTAATTTTAGCAGAGACGAAATTTCACCATGTTGGCCAGGATGGTTTTGATCTCTTGAACTCATGAACCGACTGCCTTGGCCTCCCAAAGTGCTGAGATTACAGGCATGAGCCACCGCGCCCAGCCAGGGTCTGTTGCTCTTATCTTTACGTCTATATGTACCTGATGCTTAGCCCCACTCAAAAGTGAGAAGATGTGAGTATTTGGTTTTCTGTTCCTGCATTAATTCGCTTTGGATGATGGCCTTGAGCTACATCCATGGTACCACAAAGGACATTTTTTTTTCTTTGGTTACAGCAATGTAGCATTCCATGGTGTATTTGTACTACAGTTTCTTTACCCAACCAACTGTTGATGAGCACTTAGGTTGATTCCATGTCTTTACTATTGCAAATAGTGCTGCAGTGAACATACGTACATATAGGACATGCCACTTTTATTTGGAAATGTGTTTGCTTTATTTTTAAAAGGAAAATCTAATTTTAGAGAATTTAAAAAGTATGGAAAATTCTTATCACATTACTCTAAGACACCCAAAAAGCAAAAATTGTGACAGTTGTTTGGAAAGCTTCACTAAGTTTCATTACTCTGGGAAAATATCAGACTCGGAGGCCTGGAATGAGTTCTTTTTGTGACTACCTGAAATTGGAGTTAGTGCAAGTAATTGAAATTACTAACACCATGCCACTCCATCAGTCAGAGAACCAGTCTTATGTCTTGGTGTACATTCTTATGAATGGATGAAAGGTAGATAGTTAGGTCATGTTACTAAGTATATTTACTTCATTCTTGCATTTCAAAATATATGATAACCAGTTTCACAGTTCTGACATCAGATTTTAATGGTCTTATGGTAAATTATTATGAATAAAAACAATAATTTTAATCAGTTCTCTATCTTGGTTCTATGTTTTGGCTCTTATGGACAGCAGTACAATGGGTAAATTTGTATAGAAATATCCATGTGCAACTTTGCTTCTTTAGAATAGTTTTCAAGAATTGAAATTTCTGGGTCAAGAAACAAAAACACATATTGTCAAATGAACCTCAAAATGAATTTTTTATACTGTTAATAGCAATATATAGGAAAGCGTCTATTTCACTTCCCTGGTGAGAGTCTCCTCTTCTGAGTCACATACATATTTGTATGTATGCATACATGTATGTTTGCATGCATATATGTAAAATCACAAAACAGCTGTATCAACCCGACCACAACTGTTACTTCCATCATCACAATCTGAACTTTGAATTATTTATTTTTATATTTGTGAGTGATTACAGTAAGGAACTATAATCAGGATAGTTATAGATGTGGATGAGAAGCTACTATAGCTTTCTTTGGTTATTCAATAATTCCACTGTATTTCCTGCCAATCAGCATTTGCTCAGCTTATCTCTGGAAACATCATACTTTGAGTTTTGAGATTAATTCTTCATTCAACTATGAAAAAGGAATTAAGTGACTGTCAGTCAGATATCGGATACAACAGAGGACCATCCTATTATATGAAGAAATTCAGGTTCTACTCTGAACAGAAAAAGAAATGATTTATTCAACAATGAAATTTGAGTACCTACTATGTGTCAGGCATTATACTGGAAGCTAGTGACTTACTAGTAAGCAAAATAAAAACCGCCAACGACTAATTGGAGCTAAGAATGAGGTTTGTAATGAGGATTCAGTGAGTGACTATACTTTGAGTGATTGGCTAATGGTATTACTATGATTGTGTATATTATTTTAAACAGTATTTTTTCCTTAAATAATCAGTTTTTTAAAATCAGTTTCTAGTCCCAAAAGTTGAATTTCAAAACCTTAGATCGTTGCATTCCATCCACGCGGATCAGGGAAGAACAGTTTTAGAGAGACTTGTGTGTTTTTCTCTGTTAAAATTTGGCATGAGTTCAGTTTTCTAAACATCATGGCATGGTTGTCAGATCTGGGTGTAAATTCAGAAGATTATCTGTCACTGGATATCAGGACCCATCAGTCGCCTGTTTCTGTTGAACCTAGGGGAAATTTTTATACACTCGTTTACTGATAACTTTTTTCTTTCTCTAGTATGTCTAATCCATGAGACAGGTTGTTTCCGTTTTCCTTTAAAGTTTACCTAAACCAAACCATTTCTCCATCTCACTGGTATCGTTGAGTTCAGGCCATCAGCCCCATTCCGCCCCGCTTTTTCTTTGATCTTTTGAGATGGAATCCTGCTCCCTCACCCAGGCTGGAGCGCAGTGGCGCCATCTCAGCTCACTGCAACCTCTGCCTCCCAGCTTCAAGCAATTCCCATGCCCCAGCCTCTTGAGTAGCTGGGATTAATGCCCAGCAAATTTTTCTTATTTTAGTAGAGGTGGGGTTTCACCATATTTCCCAGGCTGGTCTTGAACTCCTGAGCTCAGGCAACCCACCTGCCTCCGCCCCGGAAAGTGCATTACAGGCGTGAGCCACTGTGCCCGGCCTGGTTTCATTCCCATGATGCATAAGGTGTAGTGTTACGAATCGTTTTTGTGTAGTCTTCTCATAGTAATATATATGAATGTATATTATGCTGTATTACCTGATGTAGCAACTTTAAATGATAAATCTATCCCTGACATAAAAGATGAAATTAACATTTGCATACGTGCTGTTTTCCAACACCCTATTTCTTTGCCTGCGAAGTTTTGCTAGTTCCATTTTGCTACTTCTATTGTGATATATCATAACGTACACATTCCATTTTTAACTGTAAAGACACCAACTGGGCTTTAAATGTGTTTAATCATAAAACCTAAAGAAAATGATACAGCATGTAAAATAGCCCGTGTAAATGTTAGTCCCAAGAAAAGGAAACGCTGTGACTCGAAGGTTAACGGATTCTCGAATCTTTTTCAGGTTGCTTCTCTGCCCTTTCCCCACCCACCTCAGCTTTCTTTATTCAGATATATGGACATTTCTCCGTTTTTTGTTTTTTTTTTTTTTTTTGAGACAGAGTTTCGCTCTTGTTACCCAGGCTGGAGTGCAATGGCGCGATCTAGGCTCACCGCAACCTCTGCCTCCTGGGTTCAAGCAATTCTCCTGCCTCAGCCTCCCGAGTAGCTGGGACTACAGGCGCGCTCCACCATGCCCAGCTAATTTTTGTATTTTTAGTAGAGTCAGGGTTTCGCCTTGTTGACCAGGATGGTCTCGATCTCTTGACCTCGTGATCCACCCGCCTCGACCTCCCAAAGTGCTGGGATTATAGGCGTGAGCCACCGCGCCCGGCCTCCGTTTTTTTTTTAATGGGATACTTCTCATGTGAAAACGCCTACATCTCAGTTTTAGTACACACACATATATGCATAAACGTAACAAATATTTATATTTGTGTGTGTGTGTGTGTGTGTGTGTGTGTGTGGAGGGAAAGAGAGAACATGAGTTGTAAAAATAAATGCAAACATAGAAAATGACAATACTAGGTAGCCATAAACTGCAAATACTTTATATGCACAAAAGGAGATCATTTGTGTTACTTTAAAGGAATCAAAATTTGGAAGCGGGAGGAGCAAAATGGCAGAATAGAAGGCTCCACCAATTGTTCCCACTGTAAAGACCCCAATTTATAACTACACACCAAAACACGTGTATACAAAGAAAAGAAAATGAGGTGAGCACTCACAGTACCTGGCTTTAACTTTATATTGCTGAAAGGAGCACTGAAGAAATAGAAGAACAATTGTGAATTGCAAATGCACCCTTGTCTCGTCCCACAGCAGCACTGGGACGGTGCAGAGAGCAGTTCTGTGCACCAGGGAGACGGAGAGCTTGGCAATTGTGAAGCATTGAACTCAGTGCTACCCTGTCATAGCAGAAAACAGAACGGGACCAAACTCAGCTGATGCCCCCCATGGAGGGAGCGGTTAGACTACCCCTAGCCTGAGGGCAATTGCCAATCCAGCAGTCTGCACCTGAGTCCCTGCAAGCCTCTCCACCATGGACTAAAGTGCTCTGGGGCCTTAAAAGAAACCTGAAAGGCAGTTCAGGCCACAATGACTGCAACTCCTAAGTGAGCCCTAGTGCTGAACTGGCCCCGAGCCCGTGGACTGGGGGGCACACGACCTACTAAGACACCAGCCAGGGCAACTGAGGAAGTGCTGAAACCTCTTCCCTAGCCCCAGGCTGCACAGTCTGTGACTCCAGAAAAGAACCTTTCCCTCCACTTGAGAAGATAAGAAAGAGTGAGACGGACTTTTTCTTGCATCTTGGATATCAGCTCATCCACAGTGTGATACGGCACCAATCAGAGTCATGAGAAATCACTACAGCCAATCAGAGTCATGAGAAATCACTACAGCCAATCAGAATCATGAGAAATCACTACAGCCAATCAGAGTCATGAGAAATCACTACAGCTAACCAGTACCACTGTGCCAAGGGTTTGAGCTTTTCATCAGTGATCTAATAATTGTCTGCCCCCGCCCCGTTTCCAGGCCCTAGATTGTAGACATTCCTAGACACTCCTTGGGCCAGAAGGGAACCCGCTGTCATGAAGGGAAGGACCCAATCCTGGCAGCATTCATCACCTGCTGACTCAAGGGTCCTTGAGCCCTGAATAACCAGCAGTGATACTCAGGTACCAAGTTGAGGGCCTTAGGTGAGCCTCTCAGATAACTGGCTGCAGGTGAGACTCAGCACATTCCCCGATGTGGTGGCTATGGGGGGGTGAAACTCCCTCTGCTTAAAAAAAAAAAAAAAAAAAAAGTGGAGGAAAGAGTAAAGAGAACTTTGTCTTGGACCTTAGGTATCAGCTAGGCCTTAGGAGGGTAGAGCACCAAGTGGGCTCTTGGGGTCCTCAATTGTAGGACTTGGCTCTTGGGAAGCGTTTCCAATTCTGCCCTGGGCCAGAAGGGAGCCCACTGCCCTGAAAGGTGAGTCCCAAGCCACGGAGGCTTCACCACGAGCTGACAGAAGAGCCCTTGGTCCCTAAGGGAACATCAGCAGTAGTCTGGCAATACTTCCCATGGGCATGTGGTGGCCCTGGCCATGGGGTGAGGCTCCTCTGCTTTTGGAAAGGGGAGGGAAGAATGAGAAAGACTGTATCTTGTGGTTTGAGTGCCAGCTCAGCTGTGATACCATAGAATATTGGGTAGATTTCGAAGATTTTTTACTTTTGTCCCTGGCTCCCAGATGGCACCACTGGACCTTCCTGGGGCCTCGGGGACCTCGCTACCCTGAAGAGAAAGACACAGGCCTGGTTGGCTTTGCCACCTGCTGATTTTAGAGCTGTGAGGCTTTGGGCAACCATAAGTGGTAGTTATGAAGTGGTTACAGCAGGCTGTGGCTGAGATTCAGTGTTGGGCAAGCTTCAGGCCTGAACCAGGGCACTTTTAGTGGTGGTTGTCACAGGAATGCTTATGTAACTCCACCCTTAGTTCCAAGTGGCTCAGAACACAGACAAAGATTTTGTTTGTTTGGAAGAAAGACAAGAGTGTCTGTCTGGTAGTCTGTCGAATTCATCCAGATCTTGTTCAAGAATATCAAGGTGGTACCTTGATGAGTCTGCAAGAACTAAAGCATTACTGGGCTTGGTGTGCCCCTAAAGCAGACACCGCTTAGATCACAGCACACATGTCCTTTAGAATATCTGGAATGTCTTCCTAAGTAGGATATGTACAAACAAGTCCAGATAGTAAAGACTATAAATTCATAAATTTTCAATGCCCAGACACTGAACATCTACTAGCATCAAAACCATCCCAGAAAACATGACCTCAGCAGATAAACTAAATAGCCAATAGGGAACAACCCTGGAGAAACAGAGATGTGTGGCCTTTCAGACAGATAATTCAAAGTAGCTGTTTTAAGGAAACTCAGAGAAATTCAAGAAAACACAGAGGGCATTCAGAATTCTATCATAAATTTAACAAAGAGATTGAAATCATTGAAAAGAATCGAGTAGAAATTCTAGAGCTGGAGAATACAATTGGCATGTAATACATTAGAAAGATCCCTCATCATGACCAAGTGGATTTATCCTTGAGATGCAAGGACGGGTCAACATGTACAAATTTATCAATGTGATGCATCATATTAACAGATGAAGGATAAAAGCCATATGATCATTTCAACTGATGCTCAAAAAGCCATTTGATAAAATTCAACATCCCTTTATGATAAAAACTGTTTTAAAAAAACTGAAGATAGAAAGGACACAACTCAACACAACCAAAGCTATATATGATAGACACACAGCTAGTATACTGAATGGGAAAAACCAAAACCCTTTACTCTAGCTTCTAGATCATGACAAAGATGCCCACTTTCTCCACTATTGTTTAATATAATACTGGAAGTTTTAGCTACAGCAATTAGACAATGGAATGAAATAAAGGGCATCCAAATTGGAATGGAAGAAGTAAAATTATTCTTGTTTGCAGATTATATGACCTTATATTTGGAAAAACCTAAAGACTTCACCAAAAACTCTTGGAACGGCTGAGCAAATTCAGTAAGATTGCAGAATACAAAATTAGCATTTAAAAATCAGAAGCATTTCTATGTGCCAATAGTGAACAAGATTAAAAAAGTAATCCCATTTATAATAGTCATAAATAACATTAAATATTAAGGAATTAACTTAACCTAAGAAGTGAAAGATCTCTATAATAAAAACGGTAAAGCACTGACAAAACAAACTTAAGAGGAAACAAAAAAGTAGAAAGATGTTCCACATTCATGAATGGGAAAAATAAATATCTTTAAAATGTCCATACTATCTAAAGCAGTATACAGATTCAGTGCAGGCCCTATCAATATACCAATGACATTCTTTACAGAATTAGAAAAAAAAATCCTAAAATTTATGAGGAACCATAAAAGATCCTGAATAGGCCAAGTTATTTTTAGCAAAAACCAAAACTGGAGGAATCGCATAACGTGACTTCAAATTATACTACAGAACTATGTAACCAAAACAGCATGATACTGGCACAAAAACAGACACATAGACCAATGGAAAAGCATAGAGAACCCAGAAACAAATCCACATATCTACAGGAAACTCATTTGTAACCAAAAGTGCCAAGTACATACACTAGGGAAAAGATAGTCTTTTCTATAAATGCGCTGGGAAAACTGGATATTCACATGCAGGAGAATGAAACTACACCCCTATCTATCACCATAAACATAAATCAAATCAAAATGGATTAAAGATGTACATGTAAGACCTCAAATTATGAAACTACTATAAGAAAACATTGAGAAAACTCTCCAGGACATTGGTCTGGGCAAAAATGTCTTGAGTAATACCCCATAAGCACAGACAACAGAGCAAAAGTAGACAAATGGGATCACATCCAATTAAAAAACTTCTGCACAGCAAAGGAAACACTCCACCCACAAAATGAAGAGACAATCCACAGAATGGGAGAAAATATCTGCAAACTACCCATCTGATAAGGGATTAATAACCAGAGTACATAAGGAGCTCAAACAACTGTCTAGAAAAAAATTCCAATAATTTAATTATAAAATGGGCAAAAGATCTGAATACACATTTCTCCAAAGAAGACATACAAATTGCCACCACACATAGTAAAGGGTGCTCAACATCATTGATTATAAAATAAATGCAAATCAAAACTACAATGAGATATAACCTCACCCCAGTTAAAATGGCTTATATCCAAAAGACAACAACGAATGCTGGCAAGGATGTGGAGAAAAGGGAACCATCACACACTCCTGGTGAGAGTTTAAATAGTACAACCACTGTGAGGAATGTTTTGGAGGTTCCTCAAGAAACTGAAAATACAGCGACCACATGATCCATCAATCCCACTGGATATGCCCAAAATAAAGGAAATGGTATCAAAGAGACACCTGCACTCTCAGGTGGGTTGTGGCACTTTTCACAATGGCCAAGATTTCAAAGCAACCTAAGTATCCATCAGCAGATAAATGGATAAAGAAAATGTGGTGCTTGTATACAATGGAGTACTATTCAGCTATAAAAAGTGATGAGATCCTTTAATTTGCAATGACATGGATGAAACTGGAGGTCCTTATGTTAAGTGAAATAAGTCAGGCACAGAAGGATGAACGTCACGTATTCTCACTTATTTGTGAGATCTAAAAGGGGAATCAATTTGTTTTGGGAAGGGAAGAGCAGTTTCTTCTTCTGTTTAATAAACCTTGACATTGAGATGCACTCAAGAGCCTGGGGTAGAAGTGGAGAAATGACCCACATTACGTCTGCCCTCCTAAAGCCTAGAGCAGGCAGAGCAGGTTCCTCCAGGTGCAAAGAACACTCAGGAGTGGTTACGTCTGCCCTCCTAAAGCCTAGAGCAGGCAGAGCAGGTTCCTCCAGGTGCAAAGAACACTCAGGAGTGGATGGAGCAGGCAACGTGCCCTGTAAGAGGAGAAGGGCAGAAGGCTTCAAGGAATGATAAAATTATTGCCTAAAAGTCATTAATTTCCTATACTATATAAACTGTTCTCAGCCACATAAGAAACTCAAGAGACTTCTACAAAGTTTGAAATATGCATCCCATATTTCTAAGCCATAATGAATTAAGCCAAGAAAACAACTTAACAAAAATATATACATTAATGACCACAGTGATGCAATAATTACATCAATAGGTCAGGCTCAGTGACTCACGCCTGTAATCCCAACACTTTGAGAGGCCAAGGTGGGTGGATCGCTTGAGACTGGGAATTCAAGACCAGTCTGACCAACAGGGAAAAACCCCCTCTCTACTAAAAATGCAAAACATTAGCTGGGCGTGGTGGCACACACCTGTAATTCCAGCTACTCAGGAAACTGAGGCATGAGAATCCCTTGAAGCTAGGAGGTGGAGATTGCAGTGAGCTGAGACGCATCACTGCACTCTCGCCTAGGCGACAGAGCAAGGCTTGTTAAAAAAAACTACGGCAATGTCCAGATGCACAGGTTCTGGGATGTAGTGGTGTGATCATGGCTCATTATAGCCTCAACCTTCTGGGCTCAACTGGTCCTCCCATATCAGCCTCCCAAGTAGCTGGGATCATAGACACATGCTACCATGCCAGTCTAATGTTCAAATTCCTTGGGGAAAGCAGTATGTAGTATTCATATTTGAATTTTATTTAATAAGTATTTTAGAATTAATATAGCAAAACAAATATTTACTGGCTAAGCGGACAATTGAATATTTGATACTCTACATCTTCTTATTTCTCTAAAAATTACATACTTCAAAACTCAGCTCAGATGTCACTTTGTGCTAGAAATTGTCCCTAAAACTTACTTTCACCTCAGGCTAATATGTTTTCTATAATCTCTTATGGAATTCTGGATTCAAAACACACCATTTGGTGAAGACTGTTAATCCTCAATAACAGACCTTCATCTTTCAGGAACAAACCATGTGGGCCAAGACAGCCTCCAAAAAGGGTGGATACATGGCTGGAATTGTCCCAGCAGTGAACAGCCACACTGATATCAGCAAGTTTTATAAAATATTATATCATGTGCACTGCCATCAAACAGAGAATACAACTCAAAAAAGGTGAGGAGGGAGGGGAGACATATTTTAATTATTTATTTAAAATTAATTTCAAATTTACAGAAAACTGGCATAAATAAAAGTAGTACAAAGAACACCTATATACCCTTTACATAGACTCAACTATTGTTAACTGTGAACTTTTTGCTTTTTCATTTCTCCCTCTTTCTCAATTTTATACTTTATAACCTTTATCTTCTAAATAGTATCATTATGTATTTCCAGAATATGAAAATCTCCTATAGAATCAGAAAGTAGTTATGAACTTCAGTAACTGTAACATCAATATAACATGACTGATTAATGCATTTTGAAGCGAGACAGTGTAAAATTGAAAAGCTTTCTAGTACAGGGAAGCGATTTCTAAAAGAGGTGTGAAAATGAGATGAAACACCAGGGCAGTCGTGGAGTCTGGGAAATAACACCGGAATAACACTCTCATGTCTGGCGTGCAGAGAGAAGGAAAAGTAAATTACTGTCTAAATGGTCTACTTCAGAGTGTTTTGAAAGGCAGGTCCCACAGTTAACATTTTCTTCAGAGCCCCCATGACATCCTTATTCCTAAGACTATAGGTCAGAGGATTCAGCACTGGAGTGAGGATGGTATAAAAGACAGATACCATCGTGTCCTTCTCAAGGGTGTGGTAGGAGCTGGGGAGCATGTAGGTATAGATGGCAGCCCCATAGAAGAGGATGACCACAGTCAGGTGGGAGGAGCAGGTGGCAAAGGCCTTTTTCCGGCCCTCTGCTGTGTTCATCCTGTGGATAGTGAGGAGGATGCATAAATAGGAGCTTGAAATGATTGTCACAGGAACGAGGAGCATGAGGACACAGCATAGGTACATGAAAATCTCATAGACTGAGGTGTCCGAGCAGGAGAGTTTCAATACAGCAGGAACTTCACAGAAGAAATGATAAATCTCCCGGGATCCACAGAAGGGGAAGGTCATGGTGATGGGAGTGAGCATGAAGCCATCCACTGAGCCCAGCAACCAGCAGCCCGATGCCAGGAACAAACACACCTTACAGCTCATGAGGACAGGGTAGCGGAGAGGATGGCAGATGGCCACGTAGCGGTCATAGGCCATGGTGGCCAGAAGGAAAAATTCCGAACCTGCTAGTGTCACATAGAGGAACATCTGTGTCCCACATGCAGGGGCTGAGATCTTATTCACACCGGTGACCTGGTCCAGGAGCATCTTGGGTACAGTGACAGAAATGTACACCATGTCCATGAGAGACAATTGACTGATGAAAAAGTACATGGGGGTGTGGAGGTGGGCGTCGGAGTGTATCAGAAAGATGAGGACAGCATTTTCAGACAACGCCATTAGGAAAGTCACAAAAATGACCACACAAAGGAGAGCAGGATGTTTGGATTGTCTGAAGAGTCCCACCAAGATGAAGTCTGACCATCCCGTGTGGTTGGCTGTCCAGGCGACGTTGGCCATAAGGTTTCACCTAGGTCACCAAGGAAAGCTTGGGGTTAATGCTGTTCTAGCCTCTGAAACCAGTGTGTGTGTGTGTGTGTGTGTGTGTGTGTGTGTGTGTGTGTGTACGTGCGCACACGTGCGCATGCGCATGCGCGCGTGTGTTCTAAGCAAAGAAAGGCCCATGAGCCTGTAGATCTGGGGGTTATAAATTATCTATAATTCAACACGTTTACCAGGAACTAAGAATTCACAACTGTGGATCAAAATGGTGATTTGTACTGAAGTTGCTACAGTTCTGAGCCGTGAGATTCCCTGATGAGAGCATCTTTCATAAGCAAGTCCTAGAAACTGGCCTGTCACTGCCCTATGCAGACAAATAGTGAATTATTGAAAAATAAAGAGAAGTTGGTTCCTTGCTTTTAGAGTTTTTAGGGAAGTCTGAAGTGAATTACATTCTCTGCTTTAAGGATTCATCTAGAATCTTAAAAACTCTCAGAGGTGTATTCCATACAGTAATTGTTTAGAAAGTGACTAAAATATCATTTGTGGAAAACCCATACCAAACATTTGCACTCTTCCACCCCCAGTATTGGACAATGCTGTGAGGCTCTATGGTTTCATGGAGCAAAACCCCACACATCCCCATGAGCAGGGCGGGGTCCTTCTGCACACCAGATCCCTCAGAACCCCGAGGCGCGTGGGGCGAGGAGCCCAGGGTCAGTGGCTGGTCTGCAGGGTGGACCCATAACATGATAGATGTTAAGTTTTAGTGTTTATCAAGAAGAAGAAAATATAGGTTCCTTTTTCTGGGAAGACTTTGGCAGTGGTCAACATACAGTCCCCTCTACCTGGTATTCCTCTGTTCATTGAACATAAAAATAGACGATATGAAAATGTTTGACTTCAGGATTGATGAAGACTAAATGCAGAAAAGTAATGAAAGTGCTTAGAATAGGCCGGGCGCGGTGGCTCACGCCTGTAATCCCAGCACTTTGGGAGGCCGAGGCGGGTGGATCACAAGGTCAAGAGATCGAGACCATCCTGGTCAACATGGTGAAACCCCGTCTCTACTAAAAATACAAAAAAAAAAAAAATTAGCTGGGCATGGTGGTGTGTGCCTGTAATCCCAGCTACTCAGGAGGCTGAGGCAGGAGAATTGCCTGAACCCAGGAGGCGGAGGTTGCGGTGAGCCGAGATCGCGCCATTGCACTCCAGCCTGGGTAACAAGAGCGAAACTCCGTCTCAAAAAAAAAAAAAGAAAGTGCTTAGAATATTACCAGTTACAGATGAATAAATACATATACAACCAAACAGTCAATATCTGTGTGAATTATTCTGCAGACTCTATTGCTATTATTATCTAATAATATGAGCTTCATGACTTCAGTTTGCTGATTTTATCATCTATTCAGACATTTAAGAATTTGGATTTGATAATTTCTGTAGTCTTAGACAACTTGTATATATACAGGTTACACCATTTTATATAAATTCATAGAAATGTACAGATGTGCATTTATATATACATATATATAACATGTGCAGATTCACAAATATAAGAATACATTTTATATGGATATTTACGAATAGAAATGCATCTATTAATATAACACGTTTCTTGCTTTTATCTTGGTTAAGCAGAGATGTATGGCGAATTCCACCTCCTTTGTGTCTAGTGTATGCTTCTCCAAGCTTAACTCCTTAAAGCTTGTCATTTGCACCAAATCTCAGGGGTCATAACTAGGATTTAGAAACTCGCTGCCATTCACTGGGCAAGGCTTTGGTTGTTTTTGCAAATATCATCTGCTCTATTGCCTGCTACCATCAATTTTTTCATGGAAACTAAGAGGCAGAGAAGAAGATAAAACAACACTAAGGTTTCTCCGCCTTCAGTTCCCTCCTCTGTCTTGCTCCTTACAGCCTGTCTCTGTGTTACAGGAATCAAAGCAAATTAAATTCGATTAAGCTTGCGGAGGTCACAGTCACTCTATTCAGGAAAAAAAAAAACATATAAACATGATCTAAAGTGCAGCTTCAGATCAGAATCATTATGAAATAAATTAACAAGGCTAACAGAAGCAAAATGCGTTCAGCCTTTCTGAAGAGAATCACTAATAACTCCTACATTTTCTCTTAACAAGATTAAAACTTTTCGATTTTTCAACCTCTGACATGATAGATGTTAAATTTTAGTGTTTATCAATAAGAAGAAAATATAGGTTCCTTTTCCTGGGAAGACTTTGGCAGTGGTCAACATACAGTCATTTTTCAGGAAGAATTTCCACATTTCAAATACCTTTTATATTCTTTTAATAATTCTAAATTAAACCACATTTCCAAGTTTTGGGGTGCTCATGAGCAAGTTTTGGGGTGCTCATGCAGTAGACAACACTACAAATGAATTTGGTGTCTTAATTTAACTGCTTGTGAAGCATGGGACATACTGCCTTTAAAATTATAACATTCCTTTATAATCCCACCCTCACTGGCAAATGAAAGTTAACGCCTGTGCAAATTCTGAAACAGTCTGACAAACCATGCACCTGCTGACCTAGTCTGTATTTGAGGTCAGAGTGAAGTAAGGGCCAGCACAGTGACTGGCACATGTGAAAACCGGGCAGCTGTTTGCTAAGTGAGTGGAGGGAGAGCAAGAGGGCAGTGCTGGAGGGAAGGTGAATGCTGGGCAAATCTCTCCTGCACTTTTGTAAATGGGAGTCACTGTCATTAAGCCAGGCTGACCAGCTGACCTGGGCAGCAGACGGACGAGGGAACACTGTGTCTGCAACATGCAGCACAGTTGGTCTTTTTCTTCTTTTGTTTTTCTTTATCACGGTGCTTGAGTTTCCAAACAGCAAAATGCACGTTTAGGTTGGGGGATAATTAATAGTGGTGATAGAGCAATATTGAACATTTATCCGAAGTTTACAGTATCCTAGGAATTGATGTAAATGCCAGTTTACCACATTTAATCTTGCTCAAGGGCCTCTGACGTATACAATCTTATTTTCACCATTTACGGATTTAAAAATTCAAGTTTTGGGGTATCTAACATCACACAGGTAACCTGATGGAGCAAGCACACCAGTCCAGGTATGGGACCCACAGCATATCACTTACCTCAGGTCTCTTGGGCACAGTCCTCCCTCCATAGTCTAAAATTTGGGTTTTAGATAACTCACTGTCAGTTTTATCAGGGAAACATAAATATGATCGAAGTATTTGATGCCAGCGTTTTCTAACTCTAAGACATAATTTTCATTCAAAGAAAAATTAGTTTTGTTTCTTCTGCAAAATTTTTATCTCACTAAAACATATATGTCATTCAATAATAGAGGAAGAGTATATACTATTTTGTCCATAAATACTTGGAAACAAAAAACCCACTTCCTAATATGTTGTAGTAAATAAGCGTTATGTAAAATGAGACTCAAAAGAAAAAGAAAACAGCTTGGCTTTTCTCCATAAAAAGATAGTCGAGGAAAATGAGGAAACACAGTTCAAGAACTAATAGAAATGTTTCAAAAGCAGAACAACAAGTGGAGAACCATGATTTCCTTTTGCTCCTGCAATACTGTCTACCTGTCTGGTGGATTCAGCAACAGACGATGTCTTGACCCTCATTTAGACAGGCTAATGGTATGCGGCTGGCTTAAGTGTGCAAAGGAAAATAGAAAAGTTACATCATCCCTGGTTTCACTGTGTCCATTAGGGGTGTGGAGAAAAGTTTTCTGCTAGTAAATGCGCTCTGGGATTTTCAAGAAGAGTGCAAATAAAGGTGCTAAGGAGGCTAATAGATATCTCTGTTGCCTTTTTCTGATTTTTTTCTCTGGTTTTGTTTTCTTTTTTCTTAAGATACAGGATCTCACTATGTTGCCCAGGCTGTAGTGCAGTCGTTTTTCACAGGTGTGATGACAGTGCATGATCCTGGCCTCAAGTGATCCCCTCCACCTCATCTCCTGAATAGTGAGTACTACAGACACCCACAACTGTTCCCAGGTGTTTTGTTGTTGTCATTTAATCTCCTTTTATTGATAAAGTGAAAATGTCAACCAGTATTAACAATAATCTCAAATTTAGCCATCACGAATGAATTTTTATTTATAATGTATGTGTTAGTTATATATTTGGCCTTTTATGTTTTACACAATATTTGTGTGTGTGTGTTTGTGTCTCCTTTAAACTTTAAGAAATTTTTGTAAAATATTGCTATTTCTGCTCCAATCTCTCACAAACATAGGCTTTGAAACTCAGAGTTCAACCATTGTGGAGGACAATGTGGTGATTCCTCAAAGACCTAGAACCAGAAGTACCATTTGACTCACCAATCCTATTACCAATGGCAGTTTAATGGACATACCATTGAATCTGTAAATTACTTTGGGCAGTATGGCCATTTCATGATATTAGTTCTTCCCATCCATGAGCATGGAATGCCTTTCCATTTGTTTGTGTCCTCTCTTATTCCTTTAGCAGTGGTCTGTAGTTCTCCTTGAAGAAGTGCTTCACTTCCGTTCTTAGCTCTATTCCTAGGTATTTTATTCTTTTTGTAGCAATTGTAAATGGAAGTTCATTCATGAGTTGGCTCCCTTCTCATCTATTTTTGGTGTACAGGAAAGTGTGTGATTTTAGCACATTGATTTTGTATCCTGAGACTTTGCTGAAGTTGCTTATCAGCTTAAGGAACTTTTGAGCTGAGACAATGGGGTTTTCTAGTTATAGCAGAATGCCATCTGCAAACAGAGACAATTTGACTTCCTCTCTTCCTATTTGAATATCATTTATTTCTTTCTCTTGACTGATTGCCCTGGCCAGAACTTCTTATACTATGTTGAATAGAAGTGGTGACAGAGGGCATCCTTTTCTTGGCTGGTTTTCAAGGGAAATTCTTTCAGATTTCGCCCATTTAGTATGATATTGGCTGTGAATTTGTCATAATTGGCTCTTATTGAGATATGTTCCATCAATACCTAGTTCACTGAGAGTTTTTAACATGAAAGGATGGGGAAGTTTATTAAAGACTTTTTCTGAATCTATTGAGATAATCATGTGATTTTTGTCTTTAGTATTGCTTATGTGATGAATTACGCTTATTGATTTGCCTATGTTGAACCAGCCTTGCATCCCAGGGATGAAACTGACTTGATGGTGGTGGATAAGCTTTTTAATGTGTTGCTGGATTCAGTTTGTCAATATTTTATTGAGGATTTTTGCATTTATGTTCATCAGGGATATTGGCCTGAGGTGGTGGTGGTGGTTGTTGTATCTCTGCCAGGTTTTGTCATCAGTATGAGGCTCACCTTATAAAATGAGGTAGGGAGAGGTCTCTCCTTTTCAAGTTGTTTGGAATAGTTTCAGAATAAATGGTGCCAGCTCCTCTTTGCACATCTGGTAAAATTCAGCTGTAAATCCATCTGGTCCTGGACTTTTATTGGTTGGTAGGCTGTTACTGCCTCAAGTTGAGAACTTGTTATTGATCTATTCAGGGATTCAACTTCTTCCTGATTTAATCTTGGAAGGGTGTCTGTGTCTAGGAATTTATACATTTTTTTCTAGATATTCTGGTTTATTTGCATAGAGGTGTTTATAGCATTCTCTGATGGTTGTTTTTATTTCTGTGGGGTCAGTGATGATATCCTCTTATTTTTTATTGTGGCTATTTGATTCTTATCTTTTCTGCTTTATTAGTCTAGCTAGTGGTTTTTTAAATTAAGTTTTTCAAAAAAGAAGCCTGTAGATTCATTGAATTGTTGAAGGCTTTTCACATGTCTGTCCCCTTCAGTTCCACTCTGATCTCGGTTATTTCTTGTCTTCTATTAGATGTTCATTCCGTTTGCTCTTGGTTCTCGAGTTCTTTAATGGTGATGTTAAGGTGTTGATCCGAAATCTTTCTAGCTTTTTATGTGGGCATTTCGTGCCATAAAATTTCTCGCTAAACCCTGCTTTAGCTGTGTCCCAGAGATTCTGGGTTTGTTCTCATTGGTTTCAAATACCTTCTTGATTTCTGCCTTAATTTTATTATTTACCCAGGAGTCATTCAGGAGCAGGTTGTTCAAGTTCCATGTAGTTGAGTGGTTTTGAGTAAGTTTCTTGATCTCGAGGTCTAATTTGATTACACTGTGATCCAAAAGACCATTTGTTATTATTTCAGTATTTTTGCATTTACTGAGGCGTGCTTTAATTCCAATCATGTAATCAATTTTAGAGTAAGTTCCATGTGGCACTTAGAATAATGTATATTCTGTTGTTTTGGGGTGGAGAGTCCTATAAATATGTATCAGATCTACTTTACCAAGAGTGAGTTCAACTCCTGAAAATCATTTTAAATTTTCTGTCTAATGATGATGATCTGTCTAATATTGACAGTGGGGTGTTAAAGTCTCCCACTATTATTGTGTCAGAGTCTCAGTCTCTTTGTAGGTCTTTAAGAATTTGCTTTATGAATCTGAGTGCTCCTGTATTGGGTGTGTATGTATTTAGGATACTCAGCTCTTCTTGTTGAATTGATCCCTTTACCATTATGTAAGGCCTTCTTCGTTCTTTTTGATCTTAGTTGGTTTAAAATCTGCTGTGTCAGAAACTAGGATTGCAACCCCTGCTTTTTTCTGCTTAGCAAATTTGTTTTGAGCCTATGTGTGTCCTTTATCTCTAAATTTCTAATTCTTTTTTTCCTACTTTTTTTCTAATTCTTTTTTCTCTAATCTTGTCTTATTTCAGCAAGGTAGTCTTCAAGCTCTGAAATTCTTTCCTATGCTTAGTCTATTTGGTTATTGATGTTTGCAGTGTGCCGTGTTTTTCAGCTTCATCAGATCATTTACGTTCCTCTGTAAACCGGTTATTCTGGTCAATAGCTTCTGTAATGTTTTATCATGGTTCTTCGTGTCTGTGCGCTGGTTTAGAACAAGCTCCTTTAGCTCAGCGAAGTCTGTCATTGCTCACCTTCTGAAGCCCACTTCTGTCAATTCATCCATCTCAGCCTCCTTCCAGCTCTGTGGACAAGTGTTGCAATCATTTGGAGGAGAAGAGGCCCTCCGGCTTTTTGAGTTTTCAGCATTTTTTAATTGATTCTTTCTCATCTTCATGAGTTTGTCTAGCTCTGAGGCTGCTGACCTTTGGATGACGTTTTTGTGGGGACTTTTTTGTTGGTGCTTTATTGTTGCTTTCTGTTTGTTTTACTTTTAACAGTCGGGTCCCCCTTCCACAGGGCTGCTGTGTTTTGCTGGGGGTCCACTCCGGATCCTATTTGCCTGGGCCCCTCCCGCACCTGGAGGTGGCACCTGTGGAGGCTGCAGAACAGCAAAGATGGTTGCCTGCTCCTTCTCCTGGGATCTCCACTGGCTGACGCCAGTGGAAACGTCTTGTATAAGACGTCTGGCGACCCCTGCTTGTTGGGGGGGGGTCTCACCCATCAGGAGGCCCCTTAACAAAGCATTCTGGCTCTCTCTTGATGGAGAGGGTGTGGTGTGCTGGGTTTTTTTTGAGAAGGAATTTCACTCTCGTTACCCAGGCTGGAGTGCAATGGCGTGATCTCGGCTCACCGCAACCTCCACCTCCTGGGTTCAGGCAATTCTCCTGCCTTAGCCTCCCGAGTAGCTGGGATTACAGGCACGCACCACCGTGCCCAGCTAATTTTTTGTATTTTTTTTTTTTTTAGTAGAGACGGCGTTTCACCATGTTGACCAGGATGGTCTCGATCTGTTGACTTCGTGATCCACCCTCCTCGGCCTCCCACAGGGATTACAGGCGTGAACCACCGCGCCCGGCCCTGTATTCTTTACATACCTTAAAGAATCTTTAAAGGACTTTGTTTAATACACTAGTGCTAATGGTTCGATTTAGTGCACTCATCCTGGCTCCTGGGATTCCTCACAGCAAACGGGGAAAGACTGAGTCTGCTGATTCACGGAGATCATGGCTACCTCTCCTCCTGGGGGCTCAGTCCCGGGGAGTTCAGAGTTCTGTCCCTAAACCCCTGGCGGGAGCTGCTGGAACTCCTGCAGGGAGGCCCCACCCGCTGAGGAGGGATGGGTCAGAGTCCGGCCTAAAGAGGCAGGCTGGCCACGATCTGCCACTGCTGCTGCGCTGGGCTGAATCCTCTTGCGTCCAAAGTGTGCAGTCTCCCCAGCACCAGCATGGGAAAAATGGCAGACTGGAGCTGCAGTGATGGCTACTGCCCCTCCTCCTGGAGCTCGGTCATCTCAGGCAGCAGGCAGCAGGAGTGATGTGGGCAGCAGCGCCTCTTCCCCCCACCACAGAACTCGGTAGTCCTAGGGAGCCTCCAGCTGAGTGGCCGCTGAGAATCTGCACAGCTCTGTGCTTGGGTTCCAAGGCCCTGGTGGCCTGGGCTCATGAGAGGGTCTCCTGATCCATGGGATGCACAGATCCATGGAAAAAGCATGGCTTCCCAGGCAGGGTAGCATGATCACTCACGGCCCCCCTTGCCCGTGTGGCTCCCAGGTGGGCCATAGCACCATCCTGCTTTTCCTTGCTCCCTGTGGGTCATGCCAACTGCCTAGTCAGTCCCAGTGACAGAACCTGGGTACGTTGGTTGTCGGTGCAGGATTCACCCGCCGTTTTGCTGCTTCTAGGCGGGAGACTCTGCCTACAGCTGATTCTAGTGGCCTACAGCCTTGGCCCTGTGTTAAGTTTAGATATTATTTGCAAAGAGTGTACAGTACAGTTTTTTTTTTCCAGTTTTGGTTTCAAAAAATTGTGTGCCGTCAGAATCTTTAAAATATTTTGTTTAATACATTAGTACTAATGGTTCAGTTTTGGGATTAGAAAGTCATATATTTTATTATTAAAATATATATTAAATTTATTAAATATATTAAAATTATTAAAATATATATTAAAAGGAATCGTTTACCTTTACATTTTTCAGTAAATGAGCTTGAGGATGATTTTTGGTACGTTTAACTTTTAATACAATAATAATTTATTTGGGACGTGATATGCAGTGGACTTCTAACAAAATTGTTTTCAAGTACAGCATAACTCCAAATGCTAAATGCTTCTTTTATTTATGCATTCAAAAATATTTATTCAACACTGGTTATGTGACAGCTGTTATTCTAGGCTTGCTGTGGTGAATCAAAGACTCTCCCTTCATCCAGCTTATATTCTAGAGATAACTAAAGGCAATAAACTGATAAACACATAAGATAAAACCGGGTATTAATAACGATAGTGAATAAAAATAAAGGCAGGGCGAGGGGATAGAAAATCACGAGGGAATGTATTTTGTACTGGCTGGTTAGAAGAACTTGATTTAGAAGGTGAAATTCTATCATACACATGAATGATGAAAAGGCATACTTTTAGGTTGGTAGATAAACAATTTGTGATTCATACTAACAATGATTAATCCAAAGTATGATATTGAACTTAGTAGAATTCTTTGTTTTTTCAAGGTTAAATTTAACATATGTTAAAAGACACCAGATTTAATATATGCAGTCAAACAATGATGTCCTATGATTGACAAATGTCTCTCATTTGTTAGATGGAATTAAAAAGACAAAATATATGGAGGTACATTTTCTATTGGAACAAATTTATACTTACAGGTGTATATTGAACTAATCACAACAAAAATATGAAATATTTGAATGAACAAGAATGCAAACACTTATGCAATTTCTTAATCTTATGCTACTACATACATATGTGTGTGTGTGTGTGTATGAGTACATATTAGGTTCTGAGTTACTTTCATTCAATACATAAATTTAAGCATAAAGCCAAGCACTTGAGAAAAAAGCAAAATATAATAGGAAATTCACTCTTCAGAGTTGCCCTTCCCAAATACCTTCATGAATCCTCTGGCCACTTCTTTGTTGCGGAGGCTGTAGATGAGGGGATTCAGCATGGGAGTGAGAATGGTGTAGAATGCAGACACCATCTTGTCCTGGGTGGGTGAACGCTCCGATGTGGGTCGCATGTATATAAACATGGCTGCTCCATAGTACATTCCCACCACCACGAGGTGGGAGGAACAGGTAGCAAAAGCTTTGCGGCGACCCTCCCCAGAGCCCATGTGAATGACAGCCAGAATAACTCGAGCATAGGAAGCAATAATAACTGCTACAGGGAAGAGAAGCATAATGATACAGCAGATGAATATCATCCTTTCAAACATCAAGGTGTCATTGCACGAGAGGGTAAGAAGGGCAGGTACGTCACAGAAAAAATGCGGTATTTCCCGGGCACCACAGTAGGAGAAGGACAGTGCAACTGCATCTTCAATTATGCCATCAAGGGAGCCAAGAATCCAAGAAGAAGCAGCCAGGAGACCACAGATTTTTTGGCTCATGAGGACTGGGTATCTTAATGGGTGGCAAATGGCAACATACCGATCATAGGCCATTGCAGCCAAAAGGAAACATTCAGCTCCAAGCAGGGACACATAGAAAAATATCTGAGTTCCACAGCCTGCCAGAGAGATAGATTTCTTTCCAGAGAGGTAGCTGAAGGCCATCTTGGGTACAGTGGTGCAGATGAGCAGGAGGTCCATGAGGGACAGTTGGCTGATGAGGAAGTACATGGGGGTGTGGAGCTGGGTGTCCAGGTAGATGAGGAGAACCATGGCAGAGTTTCCCATGAAGGCCACTGAAAAGATGCCCAGGACCAGAAAGAAGAGGAAGGTGTGGGTGGGGCTGTGATTGAAGATTCCCAGGAGGATGAAGTCAGAGTTGAAGGTCTGATTCTCCCATCCCATGATCAATATGTTCACTAAGGAGAATACAACATGTAAGAAATAACCAGAATTATATCACAGAAATATCAAGAATTTCTCTCCAAGAAAAACACAGCTACAAAATGTAAACAGGAAAATTATTTCTCTGGTCATTAATTATTTTTATTTGTAGACTAGGAATTTTAAGAATTATTTTTTAGCTTGATGTGATTTTTTTTAATGCAAAGTACATAGCTAATGGACATGATAGGTTTCATAGTAAAAACATTGTATTTTTCTTGAGTTCTATAATCTAGTCGAGCAGCAAGTCAACAAAGAAATGTAATGTAGATTGTCCCTTTATAATGACATGAAGACAACAGATGCTGGAGAGGATGTGGAGAAAAAGGAACACTTTTACACTGTTGGTGGGAGTGTCAATTAGTCCAACCATTGTGGAAGACAGTGTGGCGATTCCTCAAGGCCTTAGAAATAGAAATTCCATTTGACCCAGCAATCCCATTGCTGGGTATATACCCAAAGGACTATAAATCATTCTACTATAAGGACACATGCTCACGAATGTTTATTGCAGCACTGTTTACAATAGCAAAGACCTGGAATCAACCCAAATGCCCATTGATGATAGACTGGATTGGGAAAATGTGGCACATATACACCATGGAATATTATGCAGCAATCAGAAATGATGAGTTCGTGTCATTTGTAGGGACATGGATGAATCTGGAGAACATCATTCTCAGCAAACTGACACAAGAACAGAAAATGAAACACCACATATTCTCACTCATAGGCGGGTGATGAAAAATGAGAACACATGGACACAGAGAGGGGAGTACGAAACACTGGGGTCTATTGGGGGGAAAAGGGGAGGGCCAGTGGGAGGGGGAGGTGGGGAGGGATAGCCTGGGGAGAAATGCCAAACGTGGGTGAAGGGGTGAAAGCAAACAAAACACACTGCCATGTGTGTACCTATGCAACTGTATTGCATGCTCTGCACATGTACCCCAAAACCTAAAATGCAATAAAAAAAAAGAATAAATAAAAAAAATGACATGAAGATCATGAAAAGACTCATGAATTTAGGGAAATTTCATTACATTAGTATTATATTTCCCAGCGAAACTAATGATATCACACTATAATGCTAACAAAATTTCATACAGGAAAGTATACATGAAAACAAATACTAAAACGACACAGGATTAGTCAAATTCCAGGTAATAAGAACAAATTAAAATAGCAACATGAGGAGTATCTTACTTGATCCTTATTGCTAGTAACAGTAAGTTTCAGCAGAAGTTCCTTACCAATATGCTCTTTCCTCATCTAGTCCCTAAAAATTGAGTGCGTCCAAAAGACAGTCAGGCAGAGTCTATTTTACTGAAGAACCAGGTTACACGAGAGTGTCAGAGCATCTTTCAAACTCGTTTAGCTGTGTGACGTTAGATGATTATTGTCTCTAAGCCCTGTTTTCTACTCTATACATTTCGATATTTATAATATCTATATTATATGGTGTTATGAAGACTAAACAAGATTAGGTTTTAAAGTATTTAGAACATTGCGTCGATATAGTTTGTATAATACAAACATTTGAAATTAAATACTATTTGAGCGAATATAGCATATTCCTAGTTTTCTTTAGAAGGACCCTTTTAAGAGCCTTCTTGTGGCTAATTCTCTATTTTTACATTCATTTGGTTTCCTTCTTGGCCTCTTTCTCCATGGATTAAGGAATTGGCTTTATTTCTCTCCTAATATACTCTGAACAAATTGTTCACATTGTCTTATTAATTTTTATACTATGTATCTACATATTCTAATTATAACTCTGTGGTTCACTACATCCTAAATTCCTAATCAGTTCTAAATTCTCTGAAAGGTTTCTTACATTTACAATACTTTGAAAAAACTCAACCCACATTGTGTGACTTACACACGCCACTTAATTTTTTCAGATATTTTTACTTTTCCCACTTTTCTTAAAACAATTACTAATTATATTTTATAAAACATTCTTCTATCATTCATCCTGGTGCAAACCTTTTCTTATGCATCCCACAGAAAAACTCTGAAACATTATTTTTAAATGTTCATTATTTCTCACGTTTGTTGATGAACACTTACTGCCCAGTGAAAATTACCACACTGCTTTAGTCAACTGCAGTCCCTCTAATAAACAATATGTATTTTTTATTTCGAGTTTATTCATGTTGTTATACTTGTGTGAAATTATCTCTCTCCCCACGTTTTGAAACATAAATGCTAAAAATTTATGGAAAAATAAACATTTAATATATCTGCTCCTAAAAATGCTGCTTTTTTCCATTTTGTACAAAACCATATTTCAATCCAACATGCTTCATCCTCGAAAGATAATAAGAACCGTTAAGTATTGATTCTTTCAAGTTGTACCTAATTACATAATTAACTAGTCCATAAATTAGATTAGTAATTTAAGGAAGCTGTGCACCCTGAGGAACTCCATCGATCATATATCTTTTGATGTGTATTTGTCTTCTTATGTATCTTTTTGTCTTATTTATCATTTTAGTCTTCTCTTTAACCACAAGCTTACACACGTAGCTTGACTCAGAGAGAACTAAAATGATCTGGTCCCCATTATTAACTAATAAGAGGACCTGACTCTAATTAGGTTTAATTTTACATCTAAATTTTTGCTCACAGCTGTTTCCCTTGCCTCCTGTGTTAGCAAACTGCAGCACATTCTGTCCACATATGTAAAATTATCCGTTCAGTTTAGCCCATATTAGGACCCACCTGAAGAATAGCAGCATGGGATAGTAGAACTGATCAAGACTGGTGGTTCTCTTATTAATCAAGAAACATTTTTCAGTTGTTATTTTCTAGCAGAGAAATGGAATATCTACAGTGTGGCAGATGGAGAGATGCAGCCTATATACTCCTCTAATATTTTCATAGTTCAAATCTTTTCAAGGTTAGTTTGCATAGAAGAATATATTTATATTGTGTTATCTTGTATCACCTCACTTTTTGCCAAAGCCAATCTAACAAATTATCATTTTCTTTACTGTCCTATCAGAGAAGACTAAGGTAAATAGTATTTCATGGTTGTCAAGGCACTGATTTCTGAGCACTCAGCTGCTTCTTTCACTTCAACCTCACATAAGCAATGTCTTAGTGAAAGCCAGTTAAGTGATATTGGGAAGAATGAGTTCATTTAGAGCTATATTAGCATGAAGGGTTAGTATAGACATTCGAGTTACACACTTAAAACGCAACGTGTAATACAACATTGTTTGTGAATTTTGCAAAAATTTAATCACAAGTTTATATCATAGATTCTTGTGAAATCTCTGGTAGTATGGAATTAATAACCTTTGCCTCAAATATCTTAATGAGATTTTGAATCTAAGATTCAACTTTAAACAGTTTGTGTTTTTATTAATTATAACTATAGGTTAAAAGGGGTTTTACAAAGATAATCTGAAGAGAAGGGAATTTAAGATGGTGAAGTGAGAAGGGAGAAAAGAAGTAATGTTGACTGAGTGAAGACGCAGTCTCAAAAGGCAATTCACGTCGGGGGAAGAAATGTTGGCGCCGTAGAGAAACTGAGAGGAGCAGGGAGCAAAGGAGTGAAAAATGAGGCAAGAAGCAGTCCCGAAATGTTGGTAACTAAGCTCAGTGTCTGCCCTAGAGGTACTGCACTGTGCCAAAGGACAAATCACTCTCCCACTTCCAAACAAAGATGCAAAAACCAGGCACTATATTCTAGACAAAAATGGCATGCGAAAACTCTCCTTGCTGAAACTTAGAAATTATTCATCAAATACACCCTGCTGCCTACACTCAGAAACTTCAAATCACATCTCACAAAAAGGATTGTTGATGCTTTTTAAAAAGCTTCATAAGTACTTCTGAAAAAAAAAATTCGTATCTGTACCCCTTGAAGATGATGGATAAAGCTAATCTTATATTCTTCAGTCTATCACAATACATTATTTAAAAAATTTTTCTGAATCACCATTTGATTCAATTAATAGCACTAGACTCAAAGGCATTCAATATCTCAATCTTTTTTTTACAGAGCAGATTACGTTTCTGATTGATCTTGTTTGTGAGTAATTTCAGAAAATTGTTCAAGCCTTTATTTCAAGTCATTTGTTCTCTTTTTCTAGCACAAACCCTTTGCATTCCTACTTACAGATCTCTGATACAAAAACGTGAGCTTAGGTCTTTCTCAGAAGGTTTGTCTTGCTTGAAATTATCTTTCTTTTTCATCATCCTTTACCTCTGTAAATCATATGTCTTCTGCCAGTTACAGCATACATACATTTTTCTCCATGCTTGTTTCATCGTGCTGTAGATAGCAAATTCTGCAAATATTCAACTCACAGAAGACGTGGCGAATATCTGTTTTACACAAATTGCAAATGTCAAAAACCTTCGAATTAGACAAACCTGAGCTTCCATTCTGCTCTGTAACCAACAATTTTGCCACCAGGAAAGTTAAATAATATCTCTAAGATTAAAAAAAATTCCATGAATCACAGAGTTGTTATAAAGAATAACAATTTAAAAAATTTTCCTTAAAATAACTGTATCACAGCATGCATTTATCAGATGACTCTTACCATCATTATATACTTCTTGTCATGCATTTCTTTTGGTAATCTTGCAATAAGCTTCAGTGTTATTCACCAGGAAATATTTTTGAAAATATACTTTTTTCTTACTCAATTGTTGATAAGCTATATGCTTATTTCTTATATGCTCTTAATCAAACAAGTAAGAGTTACACAGTGAAGGAGTCCGTCCGTGCTCCATAATTATTCGAAGCATGAACAAATAGACAAGATCCAGGGGAGAATCTCACAATGATTCTTAACTTATAATAGTTTTTATTGCTGTAAATAATACCTTACACTACTTAGCACATTCACGGGTATTATTTAATCTTTTAAAAAATATAGAAATACACTGCTTTACTTTCGCAGAGACTATAAAGAGATGTGTTTCAGATTAACATGAAACATTTACTTCCCTATTCTTGGGACTTTAGAGCACCTTAATTTTTGATATAGAACCTTTGAATTAAATACAATTTCATTTGTCATGGTTGAACTCCAGAATGCCTTAGATATTTTGGACTATACTCCCTCACCTAAATCTTACCTTCCAGATGTCTTCAACTGAATATATTCCTTCAAAATCGCTGAAATGTTTAAATTTCTAGAGAGAACCCTTGCAACAGAATTATACTGAGTCCTCTGTGATTAAATCTTTCAGTTCCTCCAGGATACTCAGTCCCTTGGCTTTAATTACAGTACTCTGAGTTGTCATTCACTTTTTCTTGTAAAGTCTCATATAATTTACCTTCAACTTGAAAGTATGATTCACTGATGCTTAAAGAAAGGTTTGTCACTTTTCTGATGAATGATATGAGCTACCAAGCAAAATAGCAAAGTAGGAAGTCACCCACTTGTGTCTCCCACCACCACCACAAGAAGGTTGCATGTATCCACAAACAAAAGTCTCTTTGTAAGAGCCTTGGAATTCACGTGGGAAGCTGTGAAATTCTGCTGGAGCCCATGACAGAGAGGTTGTCTTGAGAGTGAAGACCCACACCCAAGTGGCAGACTCACCAATTCGGCTCCCAGGTACAAGCCTGGAAATGGCCCCTTTCCGCCAAAGGGCTTGGTTACGGGCCTGTTCAGCCTTGTGTCTGTTACCAAAACCATCTGCCAAGGGGTGCAGGAGGAATCACGCACAGTCGTTCCTTAGCAGACAGACTTACCTGTGTGCCTGCGTCAGTCTCAGCAGTGGGCCTGAAAGTTGTCTTATAACTTGCCTCAGCTGCTCTTGGTTGTAGTTCCAGCTTTGTACTATTCACAAAAGGACTAAAAGGGAGACTCATTCCTCTGTGCAACCAGGACAGGCTTGTATTCATACAGATAGCAAAGGTTCACATCAAGTTTCGCTGACATCAGGGACATTTCCAAAACCACTTGCTAGTGCCTAAGAGTAGGTGCCATTGACAAAAGCTTGCGAAAAGCTGTATTCACTGATGAATACTGGCATTGTGTCTTGTCAAAACTGGGACCCTTTGCAATAATTCAGCAAGGAATAAAGCAGCCTCAACTGCAGAATGTGTGAGTCATGAAACATAATAACCACATCCAGAGCGTGACATTAGTTGACCGACCGTGAACTTCGCAAACACATCATTCTGTTTTGCTAGTTCGTGTTTGATTTCTTTACGCTCTTCTCGAACTTTCTCATCACATTCTTTCAGAAAACGTTCAGAGATCAACTAAACTTGTCCTAGAGTACACAAGGGCTGTCTGTTTATGTTTTTTAATTTTTATCATTAGGATATTTTCTTTTCTTGTTTGTTTGTTTTACTTTAAGTCTGGGGTACATGTGCAGTTCTTGCAGGTTTGTTACACAGGTATAAACAACATGGTGGTTTGCTGCATCCATCCCTTCATCATCTACATTAGGTATTTCTCCTAATGTTATCCCTCCCCAATCCCCCCGCCCTGGTATTCCTCCCCCACCCCTCCCAACCCCAACAGGACCTGGCATGTGATGTTCCCCTCCCTGTGTCCATGTGTTCTCATTGTTCAATACCCACTTATGAGTGAGAACATGTGGTGTCTGGTTTTCTGTTTTGTGTCAGTTTGCTGAGAATGATGATTTCCAGCTTTATCCATGACCCTGAAAAGGACATGAACTCATCTTTTTTATGGCTGCATAGTATTCCACGGTGTACATGTGCCACATTTTCTTTATCTAGTCTATCATGGATGGGCATTTGGATTGGTTCCAAGTCTTTGCTATTGTAAACGGTGCCTCAGTGAACATATGTTTGCATGTGTCTTTATAATAGAATGATTTGTAATCCTTTGTATATACTCAAATGAACAGAAATATAAACAGAAGTGTCTGTTCATATCCTTTGCTCACTTTTTGATGGGGTTTTTTGTTTGTTCCTTTGTAAATTTATTTAAGTTGTTTGTAGATTCTGGATATTAGCCACTAAAACAAATGTTTATTGCTGCGTTTTTGTTCCCAGTAACTCATTTTCTTTTGAATCCTGCAATTTAGTTGGAAGAATAAAACATTTACTTCTAAAAATACACAAAGAAAAAGGTGAGAGTAACAAAAAAATGGAAGCGTCTGTTATCTCTAGAGGCAAAGAGCAAAGAACATACATTTGGGTTATGTGCACACAGACTTCTATTAATCTGTAATATTGTATTTATTATTTTATTTTATTTTTATATGTTATGTTTTATTTTCAAGGTGGAGTCTTGCTCTGTCACTTAGGCTGGAGTGCAGTGACACAATCTCAGCTCACTGCAACCTCCACTGTTAAGTTCAAGTGATTTCCTGCCTTTGCCTCCCAAGTAGCTGTATCTGGGACTACAGGCCTGAGCCACCATGCCCAGCTAATTTTTGTGTTTTCAGTTGAGATGGGGTTTCACCATATTGGCCAGGCTAGTCTTGAACCCTGACCTCAAGTGATCCACCTGCCTCAGCCCCCCAAAGTGCTGAGATTACAGGTGTGAGCCACTGTGCCTGGCCTGTGTATGTTTTATTTGAAGCTGGTGATGAGTACATTGGCGGCTAATTTGTTTTATGCATTATCTTCTACTGAAATATTTCTAAAGCTACAAAGTAGCTATCATTGCAATTCAGGCTATGAACGATTTGTGGAAAACAATACAATTATCTCAGGAAAAGCAGGATATCATTCAATATAATTCAGTGAAAATTTATTGAACAAACAATTGGCAAAAGAAATAAAATGGGGTTTTGCTAATGTGTTGAATATAACTAACAAAACTTCAAGCAAACACTATAACTAATGATGAGCTATATTGCTAAAGGCTCAGGTGCTCCATAATATTATTCTTCAACATTCTAACTATATATATTTTAATCAAATGATGCAAAGAAAAACAGATAAAATTGGAAAGGGATACAGTTGTTTCATCCATTGTATGTAATACTTTTCCTCTGCAACAAGGAATACAAAAATAAAAATAGTATTCTTCGATTTAAGGTCTATAAGCAACAATTAAGAGATTTCTACATCTTAACAAAAACAAATAGAAGGAGTAATAGAAATAATAATCCATACACTAGAGCAACAAAATATAAAATACCCATAAACATTTCTATTTTATAATAACTTTTAAAGAAAACATATACAGTACTTTTAAGGGATATAAAACATATTAAGGAACATACAAATAGAATTAGAATTATGAAGGGAACCTCAAGATGTTAAAAAAAGCCAATTCTTCCCAAGCATATCTTGCTCTGACGATGGAGCAGAAGGAAGAGTGAAGATGGCCGTAGATGAGGAACAGTATTAGCCCTGAAACGCCCTGACTGCCAGTCTCTAGATCTGCAACTTTAGGCAATTTACTTAGGCTTCTTAATGTAAAAAACTTGGTTTCATAATCTGAAAAGAAAGACAATATAATTAAGGATAATATATAATAATGTGTACATCTGTTTAATGAGGGTATCTGACAAGCTTCTTAATGTAAAAAACTGTTTTATAATGTAAAAAATAACAATCGAATTAAAGATAATATGTAATAATACATACATCTGTCGAATAAGCGTATCTGACATACACAATGGCTATAGGTGTGATGTGAGATTACAAACATTTTTTAGCCACAGTGCCAGTTACAAAGAAAGCACTCGGTGTTTTTTTCCTCATTACATGAGAGAGAGGGAGAAGTTTCAGAAAGTTCACACTGATCTACAAGGAAGGAGGCATCGTTATCTTTGTAGAACTTTCAAGAAAAGAGAGCTAATTTGGCTTCATGTCCTAGGAGAGGAAATAGAAGTTAAAACAAACTTTTATAATTAAAGACAAGGGAATGGATTCCCCAAGAGCTAAAAATTTAAGATTTTGTCTTTTCATTCATTTGTCAATAACAGTATTCCAATTGTACGTTAGTTGCATTTTTTTCTGACGATGGAAATATAAAAATATTTAGGATATCTCTATATTTTTGCTTTTCCTGGAACCTGCAATCTCACTGAAAATACGCACTATTCAGATCAGTACTAAGAGGTAAGTTAACCAAACCCAAGCAAGACTGTGTATAATTAATGCCAGAATTACGCTGAACATGAAGGTTATTGATTTAGTCTGTTAAGTAATTTTTGTGCTAAGAATTTTACAAGTACTATTCTATTTTATCGTACAATATTACCTTGAGAAATGTAGTACAACTTGAGGCAGAAGGAGTGATTACCTGGCCCAGTTATGAACGTGCAAGATTGGATTAAATCCATTATTTTGGTTTTTGATGTACTAGTATTCCAGATTTGAAAAAGAAATTTATAGTGAATAGGAGTCAGAGGAGAGTAGCAGATAGAACATAACCGATGATTTGAAAGTTTTAGCCACATTCTCTTCTCTTTTAATAATTGTAGCTCATGTAGGATGATACTCCCTAAACCAATATCTAATATCCAAAACCCTTCAAAATCTGAATCTTTTTAATGCTGCCATGAGATTGTTATGCTTTTCCTTCCTGATGGTTCAGTGTACACAAACTTTCTCCCATACACAAAATTGTTTTAAAATATTGCATAAAATTGCCTTCAGGCTATTTGTATAAGGTATACAGAACATAAATTAATTTTTTCTGTACATTTGGATTCTATTCCAAAAATATCTCATCATATACATGCAGATATTCTAAAGTCTGAAAAACATCTGAAATCTGCAACATATCTAGGCCCAAGAATGTTGGATAAGGAATCCTCAACCTGTGTTAAGGAATGCTTTATAGTGGTCACGTGCCCTTCTAAGACATTTACGGATATTATTTAAATGTTTTATTAAACTTCAAATATACAAAAAGTTTATTTTAAAAAATGTTAGATATGCATTTTGTAAAATGCTTTAAAATGTTCCCAGTGCTTCTGAAAAACAGTTTAACTCTTTCTGATTATATAACCTTTCAGGCCCATTTTGTACGTAATCATTATTCCAGTATTGTGCTTCACAAATGGTTTTTATATGTATGTTTTAATTTCTCATAATAAGATTCATGAAGCTGTTCCCTGAGATCTACTTTGTTAATTCAGCATTCTATTTTGGAGACTCTTCACTGCTGCTTCCTGTAGCTATG